CACACACACACAAAATAAATAAATAAGTAAATAAATAAATAAATGTTTAAACAAATTTTTATTTTTTATTTATGTGTTTATGTGGCCAGCTCAGCCCACCAGGGGGCGGGGCTGGCTGGCATGTGGTGCTGGGGGATTGAACCGCAGTCCCTTTGCTTTAGCTAAGCTTGTTTTAAGTAGGTGCTTTAGACCACTGGGCCATCTCACCAGCCCCTTTTCTTATATATTTTTAAATTTTCATTTATTGGATATAGGGTCTCACCATGCAGTTCAGAGTCATAGTGATCCTCCTGTCTCAGCCTATCCGACGCTGGGATTACAGGCATGTGCCACAACACTTGGTTTCAGAACTGACATGGTAGGGGGCTGGGGAGATAGCTCAGTAGAATAGCTGGGGAGATGCTTTAGGCCTCAATCCCTGGTTCTGCCAAAACAAAACAAAACAAAAAAACTGACATGGTGTGCCCAGGGTTTCGGGGCCAGCACGGCATGGACTACCAGGGATCAAATTCTGGTCCTTGTACTTGCCAGGCAGGCGCTTAAGTCGCTGAGCTTTCTCCCTAGCCCATTTTGTCTTTTGAGACGGGGTCTCACTACATAGTTCAGACTGGCCCTGAACTTACCATGTAGTCCAGGCTGGCCTAGAACTTCAGGTGATCCTCCTGCCTCAGCCTCCTGAGTCCTGAAGTATAGCTGTGTGCCACCACACCTGGCTTTCTGGGCACATTTTAGATCTAATCCATGACAGAGTCCCAAGTCCTTGGACTTAGCAGGACCCCCTGTGCTAGGAATGAGCAAGGTCTTTCTGGGTGGCTGGCCATCCATGTGTTACACCAGCCCCCATGACATCAGGGAGATAAACACAAGCTGGCTTACTTCCTGTGCCTAGGGACCTGGCTGTGGCTCCATAGCAACTCTTCAGGCCCACACTCCCTGTGGGTCATTCACTCCCTGCTCGCCAGCCCAATCCCCCTGCTGTGAGAACCCCACTTCTGGGCTGATTGTATCCAGGACAGAACTCAGGGACCTCAGTTTTGTGGCCTCTGTGAGAGGTGCAGAGCATGGCACACAAAGAGCTAGCAGTCAGTGTCCTCCCAGGACTCCCCTGACAGAGCCAGAGAAACTGGGGATTGAACTCAGGCCCTTGTGCTTGCCAGGGAAGCGCTTATTCCACTGAACCATCTCCCTGGCCCCCATGGGGCCTCCTTTTCTAGAATACTTGTCAACAGGCATGGTAGCATACACCTGTAATCCTAGCACTCAGGAGGCTGATGCAGGCAAATCACCACAAACTTGGGACCAGCCTGCGCTGCATTAGCAAGATCCTGTCTCAACACAAACACAAACACAAAAACAAAAACAACTGCAAATGAGATATGGGTCTGAGAGCAGCTATACTGACTTGCTAGGTTTTTGTTGTACTAAGGACTGAATACAGGGTCTTCATCCCCAGTCTCTCTCTCTCTCT